GCATCCCAAACACATGTTGACAGATGATTGACAGATGTGGGGAAACAACAAGGTGTGGAAAACATTCCAATTGTACATATGGAATATTCTACCCTGGTTGTTTGCTGCTGTTGGGTTGCATCTGTTGTTTTGTTTATTATTTGGACACCTCCGGACGGGATGGGATGGAAAAAATATGTCTTTTAAAACATTGTGGAATATTCCACACATCCACCCATCGATCCATTCCTCCCAGGATGGGATCGACTTAATTGAAGTAGTAGTAATGTATAGTGTAAATATAGGCCGCCGATGGAACACGTGAGTCCGAGGTCGAATCTCACGTCGGGTCCAGCAGGAACTGGTTTGCTGTCGTCATTCAATGCAGTACGGCTGCCAACAGCCTTCAGAACTGATTGTCAAACAAACCGTCGAACAAAAACAAACAACAGCCAATCATTTGGATCCTACTACTTGAGAGAAGTAAGGGAGAGATTACTTATTCCCGATCTGGTTGTTGTTTGGCGGATTTTGCTGATTCCACTGCAATGATTGTGCTTCGTCAAGCATTGATCGATTCAAAGGAGATTTCTTTTTAATACGGCGCTGTGAAGAAATATATGAGCTTATGTGAGAGTTGTTAACCTCATATGACAGAGGGTGATTTAAAACCGGTGCAGAAGCGTTCTCGGTCCACGAAATTACGAAGGCTTTTTGACTGCTGCTGATGTGCTGCGAAATCCGGTACGTACTTGGTTTGAATTGATTTTCGGTCCATTAGAGGAAAGCAAACATGTGAATTAACGAGCCGACATTTACGGGCTACCAAATCAGGTTTAAGGGTTTTGGAGCTGGTATTTGATTTGGATTTATTATGCATTACTTTTTACGGGTTGTTGCTAGCAAATAGGAGAGCAGATCAATTGAATGAAAGTTAAGTTTTCACGCAGTGAAGTGTGTGATTTTGAAACATTATACCATAGCTGTTTAGGAATACACATTGGATAGATATTTTATCAAATTTTGAAGGACAAAAAAAAGGAAACCAACTATCGCGTGTCCACACGGAACATTCCCACAACAAGCGAAAAACGACCATCATTCGTTCGTTGGTTTGTGGCAGCCAACGATGATGATGGCAAAGTTTGCAGTCGGCAACCATAATAATAAATAACCATTTTGTTGCCACAAACGAAGATACCAACAAGATGATGATGATGATGATGATGATGATGATGATGCAAAGTCACTGCCACCTACCGACCAGCCAGCTTATTATTGCAGCTCGGGGAATCGTACCCATTTTCACCTCGAAACCGATGCGGCCATAAATACGCGGTCATCATTTCGAGATGCACCAGGATCCTTAAAAAGGAATATCGAAAAGCTGCACCATCGATAGCTGGGGGATGGGGATGATGCAAATAATCGTAAAAAAAAGGTTCTTCTTATTCGATCCTCACTGCGGATGGAACGGTTGCAATCAATAATGACGAGAAGCGGAGAAGGGGGGAGTTCCTCCTACAGGATTAGCGAAGCGATTGGGGAGCTTAAATTTTACGGTGCCTTTGTTGAGAGTGTTCTAATCCATTCCGTTCTCCGCCAACTTCACAAGGAGAAAAAAGAAAAATTCTGGGGAATAGAACGGAGTAGAATTGGCGCGACGCGCGCCATGATTTCCCCACGGGGTAAAAGTTATCCCAAAAAAAAAAATCAAAGCATAAAGGCTTCACTGAGAGATATAGGACGAGAACAATTCGCTAAAGCTTGGCTCGTCGACAAAAAGTAAATTGAAATTCAGTTCATTCGCTTTTACGTGCAAAAGAAAAATGCAAGCTTGTATTGCATATTTACAAGATTTCATTGCAGTTTTCGTAATGGATCGTAACATGGTGCGAAACTGCAATAAGGGTAATGGGATAATTTGCAATAAATTACCGTCTAAATATTACTTCTTCATTCCTTTATTTAACGTCGGTCTCCGTTCCGCAATCTAGTGCCAATCACCGACGGACATCGATTGCCATCCATTGACGGCAATCGAATGTGCAGGAAGGCAGCTCCCACACCTGCTTAAGATATCGTACCCATTCAAACACACATGAGCCGGGATCAACGGCTTTACTTCCCTTCCGAAGGAAGACGTGACCAGAGATTTGTATGCCTAAGAAAAATTCCACCGACCTCGGCTGGGATTGAATCCAGACCCATTGGGGTGAGAAAATAGTCACGCTTACCGCTACACCACCGGCGCCGGCATTGACAAATTTCAGACCCATTTTTTTAAAGTTTACACATTTTACACACCTTGGTATTTCAAATAAGCCCATTTATGATTTTGCTAATTAACTCAGATTTAGCTAATCATTCGAACAGTTGAAAATGACGTTTCCTACCATTCGAACTTCGAAGAAAACATGAGATTTTTCCGTCTAGAGATACAAGAAAAGTAGCCAACAGTGGTGCGTTTAAAAAAAATAGTAATTTGTTGGTCCAGTTTTGTGAAATCGCTGGTAGAAGAGGTCCAATTTCGGTTGGGATTGCAATTTGAATTGAATTTCAGGCTCGACCTTCTCCGGTTTGCATTGAACTTTGTATAATTGTTTGTTATATTCAATCGTTCACATTTGAGATACATTTATGAACTTATTGTGTATAATTTTTCCGTGTAAAATTTTTGCACAGGAATTCTTTACAAAGTTCAAAAATAGACGTCATTTCGATTGGAAGTGCCGTTTCATTTGATTGGTTGAAAATGTTTGAATAAACCATTTTGAAGGATTTTGAAAGATTCCGAAAGGCCGAATTTTAGCTGAACTGTGAATGGTTGTCCATAACAAATTAAGTAGGATAGTTTTTGAGATACAGCTATATGTATGATGTCAAGAATTAAATTGTAAATCCGATCAACTTCAGGGTAGTATTAGAATTATTTAGAACTAGTAAGTACTAAATCGATTATTATTAGTTTAAAAAAGTTACAGTTTAAAAAACAATTCTAAACATATTTTGTGCAGTATTTCACCCACATTTAACTCAATTTTTGAAATGCTGCGTAATGGATATTTAAACTTTTTGGGCACACTGTGTCAATACTTTTCAACTTTTGGATGATTTCAGCAATACTGGCAAGTTACCATTCTAGTACTTGAAATAAATTCTAAATGATCATACTGACCGATTTTTACGGGAGATTGGCACATCACTTTGATTTCAATAGCATTATGTAAAAAATTGATTCCATTCCAGATTTTTCCAGATTTTAAATTTTAACTGTTCCAGATTTTTCTGAAAATGACCTGAAAACGCTGTACCCAATACTTGTTTTGAATGACTGAGCGTACATTTTCTATGGAAAAATGCCTCAATTACATACTGTGTGAGCGAAGGCAACCGGTGTGAGTCGCCTGTTCGTGAGTGACTGAATGTTTTTGATGGCTCTTTCATTGCCTCGTGCTTTACCATTTGAAACAAACGGTCTGCACAGAGCAATGGATTGAATAGTGCAGTGCTTTGACACTCAGAAGTCAATAATTTTACGCTCTGGAAGTGAACTTTTCATGCTACAATTTATTGAAAACTGTCAAAGACGCCTTTTTGAAAAAAAAAAATACACGATCCAAAATGGCACAATTTCAGCACAAATGTGAACGATTGCCCATCACAAACAATTCTGTAAAATTTCATGCAGTTTGGTTGAAGGTAACATCCATAATCGATACCAAATCTCCGTGACATGTTTTTTTTTTTATTTTCGTCCGGTAGATTTGTATTGAAATTCACGCTGTGGGTAAAATGAATACACTCGCAATGAAGATGATAAAATAGAGTAAATGGCAGTATTTTCTCCGCCCTCTTATGGTTCATTTTCCTTCGGAACAAGTTCTGAAAGTCAACCAGGGAATGCACAGCAGTATCTTTTCTCTAGTGGTGATTTGTTACGGTTCTTTAGTCAGATTGGAGCATTTTCCGATCTCTCTTGTGCACCACGAAAGGACAATCAAAAGGTCGTAGTACCGATTTTATGTTTGTGTGTACCACCCCTCCCTTGAATGGCGAACGGAAAGAAAAGCTCCCCGAGGATACGACTGGCCATTTGTTCCGGAGCTTAGAGATAATTGCCGGTATTGTATGGTGCCATCATAAGTATAATAATTTGCGAAAGTTGTTATTTTCAAGTTGATGGGAAAATATTCATTACCGGGGCAACGATACTATTATCAAATTTTGACCTACGGTAACGGACATCTGATTGTGGAAACCGTGTAGCATAACAAAGTACTTGTTGTGAAACTAATGAGCTTCAAAGGGTAAATACACTCCCGCCCTTGTGTCCCTTATCAGAGCAAGGGATCAAACCTGCCACCGACCGGACAGCAACTGCTGCCATTGCGTTTGACCCATTTCAAACAGCTTGACGTACACGCAACAATGTCACCAGGATTCGAAGCTTATCGCACGCAGGCTGAGAAATAACCTACATTTGATTCCTGACACACATCCGGTCGGTTTTGGAATCGAAAGAGGGTCGAATCACAGCACGATTAGTTGCTCAAGTGTGAATGAGAGGAATCGTAAATTTTGCACCGTAGAACAACTTTTTACTGAAAATCGTACGGGAAACAAAGTGCCATCATCACGTATGACAAGTAGGACGGACATCGCCATCGAATTAATGATTCATCCAATCCGACGGACGACGCCACACGTGCAAGTAGACACCGAAAAAAGTCGGCCACCTTATAGAAATAAACGCGCACCGTCGTTTGTTGTTGTTTGTCAGTTGCCTAATTCACCAAGTTCAGAAAATATATTTGCTCCAAATAACACTCATGCTGCCAATCAGGTGCTCACGCGCCACACTGGCCGACTGAGATATTAAAGCTGCAGTTGTCTAATAAATCTTCCCAAAGATATATACGTATTAAGCATTAAGTACACGTGGAAACGAACCGGATATTTGACAGCGAACGGACGCGCGAAATATGCGAACAATATATATGGAAACATGCTCCACTTACCTGATGACGTAGTTAACGCAAACGATGCTGTGGGGCTTCTGTTTATCGTAGATAAGCGTCGCCTGCGTCACTACCCAGGCGTAACCGCCGGTACGGGCCAGGAACCGGTACCGGGCCGTTTCGCTCTGGCCCTTGCTCATGACTGTAATGAAAGAGAAAACAAAGGGACGTGATTAGAATTTGGGAAACAGGTGCCGCTAGAGGAATCGGAGCAATGGATGTCCACCCGGTGAGTTAACAAAAGGAAAGTACTTCTGGTCCGTAATTGAAATCGAAGCTGGTTTACAATTATACAAGTCATAATCAAGACTAGCGAGCTAATCCTTCACAAATCATCTGGGAATTGCGTGAGCTTTTCAGGGACATTTTCCCATAGTATATTGATGCACGTGGTGGTTGGACCTATTTACGAAATATTAGTCCACTGAAACTTCCCATCAACACATATGGCACATTACGCTTGAATATATAGAATAACATAAACAATTTCTAAATTTCATAACACCACAAAAAACGGGTATCCTCAGTTGATAAACAATGTTAATTCGACTGGGAACGGGACTTCGTACGTAAACTCAGAACTGATAACAGTAGAACGAAACAGATGATAAACTGAAAGAATGAGAAAAAAGTACACTGCCGAGTGCCAAACCCTATTGGATCCCTCTCTCTCTTCTGAGGCCTTTTTACGTCCCTACTGGGAATTTACGCCCGCCCACAAGTGTTCTTTAAGCAGAGTTGTTAGTTGGGAGCTTTCAGCTTGAAAAACTCCTAGACCGCACCGGGTTCGAACTCAGACACCTCCAGCATGGTCTTGCTTTATATCAGCGCGAGCAATTTTCTCGAAATAAACCTCAATTACTTCCAGATTACAAAAGTAAATTTGTCAGAACCACATTTGTATACAAATCCTCACTATTTTTGCTTGAAGCTGAAAGTATATTTCAACTAAATAATTCGCCTGATATATTCGATTACAACCACTTGGTCATTTCAATACAGTATAGTGCATTCTAAGCTTTGTTTAAAAGATACAAACATAAATGCTATATTCGATATGATAACATACAAGGAAATTGATACAAAATATTGCTACGAACCCTCAGCAATAAGTAAACTATAAAATCATTAAGGGCGAATGATCTTTTGAGAATATTATAAAACTCTATATACGTTTTTAACCTAACTATTTTAAGAGCTGTAGGCAGCTTGGAGCCTCCCTTAGCTCAGTTGATAAAGGCACAGCTACAAAGCAAGACAATGTTGGAGGTGGCTGGGTTCGATTCCCGGTCCGGTCTAGGAATTTTGCGGGTTGAAAAATTTCTCGACTTCTCTAGTCATAGAAGTATGATTGGACTTGCCACCCAATTATACCAATGCAACAATGGTACAGGCATCGAAAGCTCTCAATTAATAACTCTGCAAGTGCATCTAGAACACTAAGTTGAGAGCACGCAATAAGCTAATATGCTATATGCAATAAGCTTAAAATGCGAGGAGGAAGAAGAAGAAGAAGGCAACTTGGAACTTCCGATAGTCTAGTTGAAGCACGAAATTTTTAAGCCAGACCAGCAAGCGATAGCGAGTTCATCAAATATTAACAATTAATTGGTATGGTTTTCTGCTTGATTTTAGATTTAAGAAAAACTCCTTTTTCAAAAATAATTATTTGAAGCAACATCAAAGATCCTTTATATGCACCAAATTTCACTGAAATAGGGGAAATGGCTCTATTACATAGGCCAACGGCTCTAATGTTGGCCTATGGATCTAAGATTGTGCTCATCGCTAAAAATCTTCTATTTATCAATTTTATCTAGATGAATGCGACATTTGGACGATACTAATGGATATTTTACGTATTGGGCCCAAATTATGAGCATTTAGGCCGACATTACATCCTGTTTGCTTGAGTCACTGTTCGTGTACATAGTATGTTTTAAAAATTGTCCAAGTCTAAGTCTCCTCTAGCTCATGTATAGTGAAAGTGATAATTTGGCTCTGTAAAGTTTATTCGATTAAGCCTGTACAAATAAAGCAATTTAACAATATAATGCTTTATGCTTAGAACAGATCAAACTGAATTCCACAAGTTTGCAACGCTTTCCAGCCAGGTGTTCGGATCCCAGTGTCTTCCGCTGCGACCGAAATCCGAACAACAGTCGGAAATCTACAGGAGGTGGTGTTCTCGTGGCAGTTCGTTCCGGGTTGAAGGCGAGAGCTATTGAAAATGTCTTGTGGAACTGTGTGGAACAAGCTTGGGTGGCCGTAGAACTGAGTGATCGCACACTGAACTTACCCGCTGTATACATTGCACCTGACCGGGTCGTGACAACGAACTTATCGAAACTCATTGCCCATCCGTTTTTACAATAACGACACCAATTGATGAGATAATCATTCTGGGAGACTTCAATCTAGCTGGCGTTTCCTTCTCGTAGCGGCTTTCTCTACCCAGACCCTGTACACTCTTTATTTCACACAGGAGCAGTTGGCCTTCTCGACTGCAATAGTTCAGCAACGCTATCTCAAATCAACCACGTAGTCAACGAGAACAATCGAAGCTTAGATCTCTGTCAGAGTTGCGACCTATCACAATCACGATCGCCAAACAGCTGATGGTAGTATCGCTTTGTACATTCCTATCAATGTGCTCGTCGAAGCTCTCTCCATGACCATCCATCAATTTGACGAAAGAAGTAAAAAGCAACTGGTGAATGTCGTCTTCTGTTGTGATCCATCACCGATCTGGTCATTCCAGACAATCACGACACTCATCTGTGCTCGTTTTGAAGCAGTTGCTGCTTTGCTTGCTATTGTAAGTGTGTTAATGAGTGATCCCAACAGCTTCCGTTTAATGTTGCCTGCTTTGTTTGTAACTCACACAGTCGCGCCTGCCGAGACGAACTTGGAATGCGTAGGCATTGTTTTCATTTTCTTCTGTCGTTTCGCTTTTTCTCATGATCGTACTGCAGAAGTCTTCACTGTTTTCGTTGTGTTTTTCATCATCTGCAGCGAGTGTAATATTTTGCTTGTGAGCAGCGAACAATTCTGGTGATTGTTGTTTGCCATGGCTCTAACTCTCACTGCGTGACAAAACGATCTGTCAGCGATAGTCGGTTGATGCGAAGACGAGTGTCACGTGAGTGTCATGATATTTTGCATCACTGATCTCTGTTTCGTAAGCGCTCAGGATTCCGCTCCATTCATCTCCACGGCACCTTCTCCACTCTTCCTTAAAGATAATCACGCTTGGGATTGTATAGACTTTTCCACAACCATGTCATACGACTTCCGGAAAACAGATCATCGTAGTATCGTTGGCGTGCTGTATAGTATAGATTGGGAGAGCATCCTCGATCCTGACAACGTGGGAACTGCCACGCAAACATTTTCACATGTCTTGGCATATGTCGACCGGAAATTCACCAAGTATCGCACGCATTTGCTGAAACACCACTACGTTAGGCTCAATTATGAGTTCAAGCGAGTTAGCCGTCGATGCTATTCGCGTTATCAACAAGGGATTCAGAGAAAACTCAAGTCGCACCCGAAGTCCTTCTGGAATTACGTAATTAAGCAGCGCAGAGTCCGGCCTACCATCGTCAATGGCGTTGAATGGCGAATTCGCTTCTACCTCTCAGGGGCAGGGTTCCTTCCATTCATTTTGGCTATAAAAATGTTTTATGAAATTATGGAATAATAAGATATTATTATAATATTTTGTTTGTGTAAGCAACAAGAAAAGATTGTGGAGTTTGTGTTTGACACATAATACCAGCCAATGTTGCTGCATGAGAGTGGCAATAAGCGATTTTGTCATTTATCTCACCCACTCTTCGCTCTTCACTCTTCGCGAAGAGGCGATCAGAAAATCGCTCATTGTGGCTCTGTCAAAGCTAAATTTGCAGGTTTTATGTGTCAAACACAAACTTTAAAATCTTTTCTTGTTCCTTACACATGCAATATACCACCATAATATCTTATTATTCCATAATTTTCTAAAACATTTTTTTAGTCAAAATGAATGGAAGGCACCCTGCTCAGGGGATATGTCCACTTGTTTGCAGACAAGTTTTCCAGCGTTTTCTCTGACGAGAGATTAGCCGACGAACACGTTACCCTAGCAGCTGGCAATGTTCCACTGTACGGTCAAACACTGGGTGCAATTGATGTCAACGTCGAGATGATTTTCACTGCCGCATCACAACTCAAGTCGTCCTTCAACCCAGGACCCGATGGTGTTCCATCTGTATTTCTGAAGAAGTATATCACCAGCTTTCTTACACCGTTACATCATCTATTCCGAATGTCCATCTCAAGTGGCATATTCCCATCATGTTGGAAATTTTCACATATATTTCCTGTCCTCAAAAAGGGAAGCAAACGAGACGTGTAGAATTATCGAGGAATCACATCGTTGTGCGCTACCTCGAAGCTATTTGAGTTAGTCATTGTGGAGCCTCTGTGTTCGCATTGTATGCAGTATCTAAGTGCTGATCAACATGGCTTCACTTCCGGTCGTTCCACCACCACTAATCTGCTGTGTCTTCCATCGTATATCACGGAAAGCATGTCTGAACGGGCACAAACAGACGATTGCCAAACTACGAAGACTTGAGGTTAGCGGAAACTTGCTGCGATGGTTTCACTCATATCTCACTGATCGTCAGTTATTGGTTGCCGTCGGTGATTGCCGGTCCGATATTTACCAAGCCACCTCAGGGAATACCTCAAGGAAGTCACCTAGGACCGTTGATCTTCTTACTTTACTTCAATGACGTGAATCTGGTCATGGAAGGGCCACTACTTTCTTATGCAGATGATCTTAAAATCTACTTCCGGATCCGTTCGGTTGATGATTGTCACTTTTATCAAATTCAGTTTGAAGCCTGGTGCAATTTGAACCGAATGACGGTTAACCCGGCGAAATGATCAGTAATCACATTTTCTCGAAAGAAAGAACCGATTTCGTTTAATTACGTGTGAATCTCAGCTTGTACGTTAGCAGCATATCGCATATGTTGTCGACAAGGCATCAAGAACATTGGACTTTATCTTCAGGATAGCTAAGAATTTCTTCAACATCCACTGTCTCAAATCATTGTACTGTTCCCTGGTACGTTCCATTCTGGAATACTA